TTCTTTGAGCTTGAGGTACTAGAGGTACCTCATCTTCACCATTATCATCTACCTCCTCCCCTGGAATATCATTTCCAAGATTATCGTTGTTTGCCATTTTGTACCTGAATCGATTAACTCGCACAAGTTAGTAAAACAGAATGAAAGAAAAACAAGATATAAAACTAGTCAGATAGATAGCCAAAACCGTTTAGATCACCAGCAATGGCGCCAAAAAGTGATCGGAGCCAACCCTATTTTTCTTCTTCTCCAAATTAATTGTAAGTCATTTTTAACTAACTTCCTTCAATTATTAACATCTTTTAACATGATTTCAACTTCAAATCAATGATTTTCATGGGGAAAATTGGGTGTTTTGTGTAGAACCTAAGTTTTTCGAAAATTGGGGATTTGAACCTTGATTTGAGGTCTGATTTCAAAACAAATTATATATTTGGGTTCGTGGGGGAATGGGTAATCGTGTTTTTGTTTGAACCTCGGGTTTTGAACATGTAGGCCCCGGGGCGATTTTTGACTTTTTGGACAAAACTTTGGGAAATTCATTTTCATGCATTCAAGTTGATTCATTTAGCGCTCATTGATGTAATTAAGTAACTTGTGACTAGATACGAGCGAACTAGTGGTGGAATCGAGGGGTAAAGCTATAATTGAATCGTGAATTATGTTTGTGGCATCGAGGTAAATGTTTGGTCTAACCTTAGCTTGAGGGATTAGGAGTTGTATCCTATTTGCTATTTGCTTCTTGTTGAGTACGACGTATAGGCATGGTGACGAGTATCTATACATTGGTGTCAAGCATGACCGTGAGTCTTATATTGTGATTTTCATGACTTCGTTGTATTATTCATGCCTTGGTGAAGATTTCTATTTGTTGTGTAAAGTTGTGAAAAAAATTGTGACCTATGAACATTGAGGAGTGTTGGCTCCAGTTGTATAACAAATTGTGAAAGTATAAGTGATAATTGAAACTCTAGAGCATTGGTTCGAGTTGTGAAGTAAAAGTGAGAAAGAGAAGAGATCATTATGTTTCCCCCTTGTCGGGCTATTGTTAAGTTGAGGTTCCCTTGTATTGTGTTCTTAATTGATATTACAGATGCTTAGGTTGATGATTCTTTGTGTTAGGTGTTGTAACAAGTTTAGTTATAGTTGAGGTAGTTAGGTGTTGTAACAAGTTTGATTATAGCTGGGTAGTTAGGTGCTGTAATAAGTTTAGTTATAGCTGGGTAGTTATGTGTTGTAACAAGTTTAGTTATAGCTGAGGTACTTAGGTGTTGTAATAAGTTTGGTTATAGCCGAGGTAGTTAGATGTTGTAACAAGTTTGGTTATAGTTGTTTCTCCCTTACCGGGATATTGTTGAAATATCATTGTTCCTTACCGGGATGTTTGTTGATATTATTGTTCTCTTGTCGGGATTCCTTGTGATTATTGTTGGCTTGTACATGAGAGCGGGTGGTACGCCTACCACAAGATATAATGAAGTGGGAACGGGTGGTACGCCTACCACAAAATATACTAAAATGGGAGCGGGTGGTATGTCTACCACAAGATATAATGAAATAGGAGCGGATGATATACCTACCACAAGATATACTGAAATGGGAGCGGGTGGTACGCCTACCACAAGATATAATAAAATGGGAATGGGTAGTATGCCTACCACAAGATATACTGAAATGGGAGCGGGTGGTACGCCTACCACGAGATATACTGAATTGGGAGCGGGTGGTACGCCTACCACGAGATATAATGAAATGGGGGAGCGGGTGGTACGCCTACCACGAGATATAAGGAAATGGGAGCGGGTGGCACGCCTGCCGCGAGATACAGAAAATGGGATCGGGTTGCACGCCTGCAACAAGATGTGAAAAGAAAGTAAAATCTGCCTTTGTTTTCCTTATTCTTGTTAGTGGTTGGATTTTGATTTCTTTATAGTTCTCTTGATATTCTGTTTTTACTTGTTATTCCCCGAAGCATGTTTCCCCCTCCCATCTTTACTTGTTTATTCCTGTTCTACTTTTTATTGTATGTTATATAATTGCACATGTTTATTTGGTGGTCTGGTCCTAGCCTCGTCACTACTTCGCCGAGGTTAGGCTAGGCACTTACCAGCACATGGGGTCGGTTGTGCTGATACTACACTCTGCACTATTTTGTGCAGACTCCAGTGTTGTGTACTTCGGACCGCGGTGATATTGCTGATTCTTGATTATCAGGCGGCCCGAGGTAGTCCTGCAGGCGTCCGCAGGCCTTGGCACCTCCTTCTATCTATTTTCCTATTTCTTACACGTATTTTCAGAGACAGTGTTGTATTTTATTCTTTCAAACCTCTATTTGTAGTATTCCTAGACCGTCTGTGAAACTGTGACACCAGTTCTGGGTACGAAATCTAAACATTTGTATTAGATATTCATGTTCAGATAGCTTATTATTTTTCTTCCGCTTATGTTATATTCCGCTGTTTAAATGTTATCTCTTCGCAATTGTTAATGAATATAAAATGGGTTAAAAAGGTAAATTGTTCACATAATTGGCTTGCCTAGCTCACATTAGTAGGTGCCATCACGACTCCCGAGGGTAGGAAATCCGGGTCGTGATAGATGCCCCCGAGGGAAGGTGTCTTACTCGAATCCCGATACGAGAGGCTCCCCACCCAGATTCTGATTTCTTACGATAATGTTCCTACTCCGTTTGTCTTACCAGAAAACCGAGATGTTCAACGGGCTCGGTTTTACCAGTATACAAAGTATAAATGTATTGTCCTTTTTGTGTTTATAAGTTATGATTTTTGGCATGTTCCTTCTAATGTAGAGCTAACTTTCTTTCCTCGTTTTCTCTTATTTTCTTCTTTCATTATCCTTCGCCTGATATGACATGAGTCATTAGGACGTTGATTTTTTCCTTTTCAAGATTTGCTTGAGGTTATAACATTAATTATTTAAATATATCACTCGTAAAATATCCTATGATTGTGTAATTATATATAAATGACTAATCTTTTTGAAAATCAGTTGACGCTCCACAACTCACTCTTCCAAGCATATTTGATTCTCAATTAATTTTGATGAAACTAAAAGTAAAAAATACTAGTATTGAGCATTCACATATAGTGACTATGTAAAGATCATTTAGTGTCGCATCACAAGGCTATGCTTGAGACCCATTCCTTGATCTATCAAGACCGATCTAGTAAGGTATTCATTCCAAAACCTTAACGATATAATAAAAACATAATTAGATTTTTAACATCTCATTCCTTGGTCATATATCAAATGAGACTATAAATCGTATTAAGTAAATACGTCATGCACAATTCTCCATGTGAAGTATTCATCTTTATAAGAGTTTTTTAATAATAGTCATGACCAACAACCATCAACTCTCGGTTTGTTAGGAAGGTGAGAGCTTCAAGCCCAATTTCATGCGCACAAGCACTGCCAGACCGGGAAGGGG